GCTTGTCATTAATAATGCATTTGAAGGCCTAACCTATTGATCTGGGTTAAGTGCATAATTTATATTAATAGCTGCACGCTCATATTAGGTGCTTTTTGTTGTTAGTGGAAGTTCTTTAGTTGGGCAACACTTTGTTAAATGGCATCATTATTAATGCATAGATTACATAACACATTCCTTTGTATTCATCGCAACACGCACGTTCATTTTAATGTTCTAGAATGCAGAAAGGCGGATAACTATAGAGCTATAAATATCCTGTAAGGAAGCCTACAAATATATATAATTATTTATAATAATGTATTAATTGAATAATTTTTGTGATAATTTTCAGATTACAATTAAAACTAAAAATATAAATGTACCAAAAAACTAAACTCAACTGATTTTGATTTGAAAAATATATGTTTAATAAAAAATATTTTTCCAAACAAATTAATTGCCTATGAAGATAAATAATATTATATTTATGGTAAGAAGTTTTCTGATATTTCATTTATGAAGACAGGGTATCGAAATGAACAAACAAGAAGTGAAACAATGAGAAGATACCCACTAAATAGGTGGATGAGTGTGGCTGAGTTTAGGTTCTGGCTCTGACTCCTTCCCCCATCCCTCTCCCTCTTCCACTCCCTCTTCTTCTCCCCCACTCTCCGTCATTCTCCATCTCCCATTTTCTGTCTCTGTTGTTTGGGGCGCTATAAATAGTTGCTGGGCCACTTGAGCAATGTGAGCTACAAGAAATTAGACGCCTCCAGTGCCTTACCATAAACTGAAGCCTGTGGCAGCTACAAACTACAAACTACGTGCCACAGCTGGCAATGACACACAGGCGACCGCCAGCTGCCGACTTCTCCAATTCCCTTCCAATATTTGGCTAGGCATCGCTTGCTGAGCTGTTCCATGTTGTTTTTGCTTAATGTTATTGTTTGTGTAGGCGTGCGTGCGTCCGTAATAACCAACACGTTACGCATGTGTATGTGTGTGTCTGTGTGTGTGCTTTCCAATTAAGCCACAGAGATAAAACAAGACATATCACTGAGGTGAAAGCCAAAGTTTGTTTAAGCCGAAAAGACAATGGAGTTTGACGTATGCCCATTTGACGTTTACAATGCCAATAACAAGCGCAACTAACTTTGCTTGTTATGACAGCTAAACACACTGTTCCAAATTTGTGGTTATATTGAACACTCACACAATCACATTCCCCCACACATACACACACGCACACATAGACGTACGCTAATAATGCTCAATCAGCGCGTGTTGAAATGGGCCGAAAGTGTTGCCTGCTTTTAGGCGACTCGCTAAAAGCCACTCAAATCTAATAAGTCGACTGCAATCGGTAGCTGTTGCAGCACTCCCCCCCCAACCACCCACTCTATCCTCCTGCCACAATTCAGTTAACTTTGCAATCCATGACCATTTGCCTAATCTAAGTTGTGCTCTTTGGAAAATTACGCTGGTGTTGGCTGCTGTAAATTTTTGGGGCGCGATTCGAGGTTATTATTCAGTTGTCGTACAAATTGCTCACATAAGCGGATTAGTTTGACACAGAGACATTCTACACACACACTCACACACACACATATACAAACAACATGCAGACAGCGTGACATTGACTTGGTGGCAAACAAAAACAAGCTATAAATCAGCTTTATTTTACACTTTGCCACTGTCAAATGCCGAATTACAGAAAGTGCAAAAATTTATCAAACTGAATTCTTTCAATGCTTTGGTTTAAATATTTCCAATTCGATGCGTATATGTAATCGATATCACAATCCGCTTAGCTATATTTTATTTTTCATCTTGAGGGCGTTGTCAACAATTGCCTGAATATAATAACAAGTCCTTTGAATATTTGCTTTTGTTAGTTGTTGAGGTGGCAATATGAGCTCATAGCTCAGACATACAAAAAAAAATATATATATATATATATGTATATATATATATCGAGCAAGAGTTAATGAAACTGTAACTGAATACGACATCAAGCCGAGTTGATATTTATCAGGTGGCAATGCTCTAATATAATTTGAAGAGAGAACAAAGGTTGTGCCCTTTCAGAGATTTTAATTCAATTTGCCAATGCTTGTTGGTTGATCATTTGAGTAATTTACAATTCTAAAATATAATTATATTTTCTAGGTATTTATCAAGTTTATTTTTCATAAGTGTATAAGACGTCAACTTGTCGAAATAATAGATTTCATATCTATAAATATTACAAAAAAAGCCACGTTAGAATAGTACAATAATTCCTACATTAATTACTATTAAATTAATAGCATTTATTTTCGTTATTTTGTGAGGTCGCGTAAGCTTTTAAGCTGTTGAGAGCTATTAACTCCGAACAGAGGAACTAGGTTTAAATATGCCCCCATTGACTTGTAACACTGAACAATTTATACTCGGTCAACTCAGGTGGTAAACGTGTTTTTAATTATGCTTCACCAACAGACTCATTACACACAAGTAAAAAGGAAGAGAGAGAGAGAGAGAGAGAGAGAGAGGGGGGAGAGGGAAAAATGAGCATATAGGGGCATAAGAGTCCATGATTAATTGAAAAGTATCTAAAGGACGACAGGAAGCGAGAAGCCTGCACATCAGCTACTGCTGATAATAACTGAAAGTATACAAAAACAACAAAAAATACAGCTCACATGTCTGTGTGTGTGTGTGTATGTTGGTTATTAACGTGTACCACGTAAATTGACGGTGACGTGAAGCGCAAGACGTAAGCACTCTACGTAACGAGAACCTCCGATAAAATAGCGGAAGCGCTCAGAATGCCGATGGCATCACAGCCGCATATCAAATAATGAAAATGTCGTTTGTTATTTGTATACCCTTGCAGAGGATATTATAATTTTCTCATGAAGTGCACAAGAAATTTGTATAAATTAATTATTTGACTTGCAAGACAAGTTTCTACCGAAACCCATGGATACTATCTATATATCATATAGCAAAAACAATTCGTTTTTAAAACATATTATTTAAAGTAAGGTGTAACATTTTTGAATGAAACTCTTATCTGATTTCGGAGATATCTTGTCGACTTTGAATATAGCTCATAGGAAAAATATCATATAGAAAAGAATTATTAGTTTTCAATACATATTTTTCACTTTCAAGTTGATCGTTTCTGTATTAAAAACCTATTTTATTGCCAAGATATTTTATCGAAACTCAGCAACACCAAAAATGAGAATATATCGAATAGAAAAATTGTATTTGATTTTAATACTTTGTATTCAATTAGAACACCTGTCAACCAGGGTATCTAATCTTCCGTTTGCTGACTAAAGCTGTTCGTACATGCTTACGTTTTTATTATTATTATTATTTTTGGGGCCAGTCGCATCGTCAAATTGTTCACCTCTTTTGTATGCCCGACACATGCGTTGCCTGCACTAAGGAAGATATTTGGGGGAGCAATGTTACTCACCTGTCGTGACAGGCAAACAAGTTAAACGCCTCAGTCATCAGGCTAACCATATGGGACCCGGACTTATCCGTGACATGCTCATAAGCGATTCAGAATCTGTTCCAGTTGCCTCAGGCACTCCACTCCTTCTTATTTCCGCTCTTGGGCCACCTTAAGTCCTGTGCAGCTGCTTCTGGGTTAACGCAGGCTTAACCTTGTCGTTGGCAACAACATTTTACTCAGGCTTGGGCATATCCGCTTCGGTGGTTTCCGAGTGCCGTCAGTTCCGCTGAGGACTTACAAAATGGAAATCGGTCTGTTTTACGCCTGCACATGTTGCCATATTGCATTTGTGGACTTTGGCTTCATCAGCTGAATCAGCAGACGACAAGTCTCGAGTAGTTGTTGAAAGAGCTCTCCAGTTGAGTAGCTGCTTAGTTTCGCACAATCTGATTCTCTTAAGCAAACTATTTGAATTTCTGAAGTTCAGCTTTTATTACATTAAAGAAGCGAAAGATTTAAGAAACAACAAAGTTGTTGGAGTACATCTCTTTCTGTCAATGTCAAAGTTTTTGAATGAATAATATATTGCGTATTTATCAAAGACTTTTTTCTCAATTTTAAATCGTCTACATTATTCTGTGGTTATTTGTAGAATTAATTTTTAAGCTAGTGTTTAAACACGAGTCATCTGTTGACATAAGCATAAAAAAGCATCTTCAACAAATTTAGCTAAATGATATATCACTAAGTTAAGTTCTTAAAAAGTTCTTTAAAAATGACCCGTTTCAATATTCTCTCAACTTCGACATTTTCAAGCTAACTTCAAAATTCTCGTTTGCGACGGCTTAAAGAAATTGTGTCGTAAATGATTTTAAAAACTGCCCGTTGTAACACCATGTTTATCTTCTTGTTGTAGCTAAGGCAAACAAGCATGAAACTTTATACTTTTTTTTATGTTATGCTTTATGCTGCTCATGTTTACCCAGACTTGCTGCCATGCCACGTTTCACCCCACTTACCGTCATATAATTTAAAATGCCTGCCCTGCTTTTGCTTTTTTATGATGTCTTACTTTACCTTTCTTTTTTTGTTTTTGTTTTTTTAAAGTACAAGTGGAAAAAAATAAAAAAAATGACAAAATTAGCGCAACAAACTTGCGTCTCACGTGTCGTATAAGTAATGTACCAGAAGATTGCAGAGGTTTCGCGAAAGATGAGAATGCTAAGTTGTTTAACCTACATGCTGAACAGTAGTACTTGGCGCTTGATAGATCTGATGACCGTGTCTGGCTTGTCTCCCCTCGCCCATCGCCTATCGTCCACTGCAGTCCATAAGAGCGATTACATTACGTATGCGCTGAGTTGTGCAATGCTTTTCCTTTAACAATCCAACTTTTTTAGTGCTCCCTTAATTTCTTTTAAATGAAACAACCTTTTATGTTTAGTTTGTAATTCGTGTTTTTTTTTAAATATTTATTTGACGTACTTGACGTAAAAACGCATTTCAATTGATTACGTATACGCACTGTACACAGGCAAACAATTATACAATACTCGGTATTTGGTTTTATTTTCGTCTTTTTTCACGATTTTCTTTTTATTCATTTCATAAAAACTAGCAAAATTTATTTATACATAAAACAACTAAACAAATCATCAATGTTAACAATTTTAAATTACAAAAACTAAAACATAGTGAAAAATTTGTAAATGGAATGTAAAATTGCCAGAAAAAATTAACAAAGAACTTCAGAACAGCATTTTAATTAGAAATACATATTTCATTCAAATTCCGATAATAGGAAAATTTTTCTAAAGATGAGCCTGAAGCATGTGAAAGAGAAACTTTTGTAGAAAAATGTTTAAATTTGCAATTTGGCCATCTAAAATTTAAATAATCATATTATATACACTTAAATTTCGTTTGTTTTCTGTTTTTTTTTTTTTATAAGGTTTCATATACTTAAATTTATAACTAAAACTAATGATAACATTTCTCTCTCCTCTCTGCTTCTTCTTGCGACGCCTTTGTCCTAGATTCCGTAGAAGACTCTGAGCTTTTTGTGGTTAGACACTAGATAGTTGGAAATTGTTCTGGTTCTTGTTAGGATTCTATCTAGGGATGAATAGTGTTAATTGACTTGAGGAATGTGCTGAGAATAAGGTTAAGTTGAGTTGAGTTCCGTGTCGATTAATGCAAATTATTATTGAGTTTTAAGCAGCTTTCCATAGGTTTTTCTTTTTTGCGAGTACATGCATACATATAAGTATTTTTTTATATATTTTTCAAATACTTTTCTTTTACATATACAAAAAATTAATCAGTCTAAGTACGTGTTTTTTCTTTTTTTTTATGTATGCTCTCTTCTTTGCATTATCGTGTTAAAAAAGATACATACATACATATTTATATATATACCAATGCATTTCAACGATTTTAGCCGCAACGGCTAGATTTATACACCTCGAACTTTAACTTAAATATGGTATAGCTGTTGTTGTTTTTGTTATACATTTATATATATATAAACCATTTGTTGTACTTGTTGTATCTATGTGTGTGTCTATAATAGTGTTTGTGAGTGTGGGTGTGTTTTGTTAATCGTAAAATACACAAAGAAACCACATACGACATCATCATTATAATCACCATCATATCCGAGTAGTTGAAGAATTTATATCACGACCTTCACTCCCAATTCTTTTTGTTTTCTTTGCCAGCAGAACTTATTATAAATTAGGAGCTCCAATATCTCGTTTTCTCGCAATTCTCTCCATTTAGTTGGTCGCCTGTTGTTGTTGCTGTTGATTCTCTCACGCATATTTGGTAAATGCCCAGCGTTGAGTCGATAGCGCCGAATTGCAACGCTGCGCACTAATGCCCTGCTCATTGTGATCCCTAGTGTCCAGACACACATTGATCTTGTTGTGCCGCACCAGACCGCCATCCTTGATATTCCAGCGTTGATTTTCCGTGTCGTCACATGACTTGAGTACCACTTGGGAGCCACGAGAGAATTGCACAAGTGTCAAACAGAGATCATCGTGCTTGATTTCTCCACGTTTCGAATACGCCCACTCCTGATTGCCGCCCGTATTGTGGCAGGGGAAGAGACCTGTTAAAATAATATCGTTGTACTCAGAATGTGAAATAATAAACTCGACAGTGAAATTATTTATAAAAATTAAAACTAACAATGATGAGTGATTTACTCTGCAGCTTAGAAAACGTTCTTTACATTTATATAGTTTTTATTTTATGACCTAACAAGTCAATATTTTAAATATCTTATTAGTTTTATAATCCAGCATTGATCTTCGTTTAGATTCGCTTTGCTTTTATTGTTTGGGATTAAATGCATTAAGTAAAATTTTAAGAACTGATTTTAAGAAAGGACAAATATATAAAAATAATACTATAGGTATTCTCCTTTATCACATTATTTACTGAATGATATATTCGTATTATAATCTAACTCTAATAGCTATTATTTTGATTACTCACCCACAGTGCCGTCTACGAGATGACCCATTGTATCCAAGCATTCGGTCATGTCCTGTCTAAATTGGCCCACCTCCTGTGGGTCAGGTGCCTGCAGATCGGGATACACGTTCTCTAGATACCACTTGAATGGTTTGCAATGCAGTTTCTCCTTCAAAGCCAAGCGATCATCAATGCTAATAATGTGGAGCAGATATACATAAAAAATAAGTCACAATAAGCAAATGGAGTTGACTAAGTTGTGCTCCCTTCGATTACTCACTTGCCAAATGGTATGTTCTTGGCCAGGGGCACAGCATTATAGTAGTGCTGCTTGTAATCATCCATCCAAACCTCAGCTGCACGTCGCGTATTCCGCGCAAAAACATTCCCACTGCCGCCGGGGAAGGTGTATGGATGTCGTTTGCGGAACACATGACCCACACGGCTGCAGGGTATTATCTCCAGGCTGCCACCACATTGCCAAACCCTAAACGATATCTCCAGATTCTCGCCGCCCCACACATCCATTTTCATGTCGTATTTGCCCAGCTTATTGAAGTACGCCTTATCGATCACGAAGAGTCCGCCCGCAATCATAGGTGTCCGGATCGCCGTCGTAGGATCATTGTGGCGTGCCGTACGCTCCGAGGCACTCAAATACTCCCACTTGAAGATCAGATTCCAATCGAAGCCGCCACGCAAATCCGCTGAGGCGCCAATATACTGGAAGTTATCCATGCTAATCACATCGATGACTGGACAAACGACCCGAGTGGGATCCTCGCGAACACGCTCCAGCAACGGCTCCAGCCACTGTTCATTGCACTCAACGTGGCTGTCGAGGAAGGTTAAAACATTGCTCACTGCCGCATCGGCACCGCGCACTCGAGATCGGACCAAACCCTCGCGTTTATCGTTGCGTATGATGCGCACCTTATCGATCTTGGCCAGCTCCAAGCCATCCTCAGCTAAAAAGTTGTTGGAGTAAAGCAATATAGAATATATAGCACTAAAACTTGCAGTTAACAAGTTAACAGGTGAACTCTTAAGTTCAATATCATAAATATTAAAAGGTCGCGAGTTCGATTAGCTTTTGACTATACAATACTTTCCATACTATTTTAATGGCCTAATGCTAAGCAATCAGTAATATATAACCCAATACTAAGTGAAATGTTGTTCATGGTAATTTAAGTCAGAGAATTTATAGAGAAAAGAAAAGTCATGACGCAAATGTTTTTCCAATTGAAAATCGAGTGAGTTTTAAAAAAGTTATGGAGGTTTAAAGTTGAAAACGATTTTGAGTGACTTGGCAATATATGACTGAAATTTAATTTAAAGTCAGGAATGAAGTCTAAACAAGTTTTTCGTAGGAACTTGGGAATATAGTACAGAAACATTAAACATGTAATCAGAGATGAAACTCGTAAACGAAAGAAAATAAAAAAAAGCTGTGTACAAATACTTACGATGATCACTGTAATCATCAACGAGCACAATTTCACGAATTAAATGCTCCGGACTGCGATTTAGAACGCTAACAATTGTCCGCAACAGCGTCGATCTGGCCTCGTTGTGGAAGGTAATGATGACACTCGTCGCGGGCAGATCCTCGCGATACTTTTTCGTGCGGCACCTGAACTCAAGCAAATTATTACACAAGCCCTGTAATTGTCATTACGCGCAATCAAATCACTCACATAGGATTCCTTGTGTCGGGTATTTCACGATTACTGGGCAAATCATCGCTGGCCTCCTGATTGAAACGATTGCGGATATAGGGATCCTCGCCGTTGCGCAATGCACCGCGACGTATATAGCCAGTTTCATCAAAGTATTCGACTTCGCTGCCGCTGCCGCGAGCGCTGGACCCGACGGCTAAGCGTGAACCAGTGACGGTGCCACCACTAGTGCCGCCACCAGCAGCACCATTTACGATGCCCTGCGATGTCTCCTCGAGCGCCACGATGCCATTCAACTTGAGGCCATGCACCGCATTGCGCTCAAAGTCCTTTAGGGAGCCGATTAGAATGACATTGCCACCGGGATCATCGGCACCGCTGCCTCCAATGGCGCCCGCCACCCGAATGCCCGAGTTAGCAGCTGGCGCCCACTGTCGTGCCGTCGATGCGCCAGCCGATATATCGTCCTGATACTGCTGCATCGCCGTTGCCACCTCACGTAAGCGTAGCGCTCGATTTTCCACCTAAAAGCACACAGCAAAAAGTGAGAGAGAGAAAGTGTTAGTGTGTTTGTGTGTGAGAAAGAGAGGCTGTCCCATTTTATTTATATCTTTAATCTGCGCCACTTTGGTGACGCCGCCGCAACCAATGTGGCAATAACTCAACACATATGAAAATAAGAGGCAAAAGCGCTCGACCAGAAGATACTCAGTACTAGAAGTTGGAGTAAAAATTATACTAGCACAGTTAAGCCCAGAATCGAAGCCATGACTTTTAAAATGGGGGTTTTCAATACTTTTGGGATAAGATATGAAACTATATTCGTAGTCTTAGAATTATATCTGAGTATTTACCTTTTCCAAATCAAATATTATGTGTTTCTGGCTCGTATAACTTTCAAGACTTACAACAAAATTAACCGAATCTTGTCTTGCGCTTGATTTACACGAATTCACATTTCAAGTTGCCGACTAAGAATACATTTAAATTAAATGATATTATCACAATAACCTTTTTACAGGGTATAAAAGACACCGCGTAGTGGTAGTTAGGGCGAATTGAAAGTGGCTAGCAGGATTAGAGCGTTTTGCAACTTGCAAAAAAGTTGGCAACAAACAAGCATAAAAATAAGCAAAAATAAAACTTTACAGTTTAGTGTTTTACAGCCAGAGGCTGACTTATGGCTCAAAGCGCACAACGTGGAACTGTTTCCAGTTTCGTGCTTTGTTTAAAGATTAACAATCTATAAATGGCAAAGGTTCCACAATTTTTGACCCAGTTAAAGTTTTCTAACCGGAAAAACAATATATGTTTGCACAATATGCTGCGAGAATGCAGTAAATGTGATAATCCTGTTATAAATTGCTGGTATTTGAGATTTCCGCATAGAGCTTAGATACATAATATATTTAATTTTGAATTCGTCTATTAAGGGCAGAAGACCACAGGTAAATTCTAAAAATGCAAACCCTTGTTTGCCAAACTATACAAAAAACATTAAGCTCAGGGTAAATTTACTTTTCATTTTATACAATTTAAAGTGTTTTATATTTGAGAAATAAATTAAGAAAAAAAAATGAATCTAGATGTTGTATTTGAAGGGCAGCTGACCCTCATCTGTTGTAAGCTGGAATCTGTAATTCGGTGCAAACTTGTTGGGAAATCTCAATCAAATGGCAAAAGCCTCAAAAGTTGAAAGGGCAGCAGCTGTTGAGCACTTCCTTCCACTTGCGAAACTTCTTCGTATCCCAATTGGCAGCGATTTGGTCTTTAAGTTTTTTTCTTTTCCCTGATGTGGAGGCAGCGAATAAACTTTGGGATTTTACTAATGATGCATTGTTATTGTTGTTGTCGCTGTTGTTGCTGTTGCAGAAAGGGCCATTATAAGGGCCAAACACTGAGCGACTATCCGCTCACAAAATTGGCCCACTTTCTCGTCCTCTCCACTTGGTCTTTCACAATGCGAGAGGGTCATTTTGGTCATCACGGGCGCTGCCCATGACTCGATTATTAATTGCCTTTCGCATTTGAATCTATTTGTCATGCTTTTTCTTTGGCCAATTCGTACTTATGTGCCCAACAACAACAAGAACAGCAACAACAAGAACAGCAACAACAAATAAATACTTATAATACAGACCCTCATTTGTTATACGCATCGTATGCGTGTTTTTAATTTTAAGCTTGTTGCGGGCACGTTTTCAAATTCAACTTCTGCTTCATTTGACTGGGTTTCGCATTGGTTTTGCATTTTTGTTCGATTTACATTTGATACGTGCGCCTCTTAGTGCCATTTCGAACGCATTTCTTATGCCAATCCAAAAAGAGAGGGCGGAACCCAAATCAAAAGCTTTCAGCACATTCAACGCGACTTTCCGCTCCCTTTCAGCTGCGAAGATTTCAGCCCTTTTGCATTGTTAAACATTTAAAATGCTCGTAAGTGACTAGCTGCACTTATTTTCAATTGACTGCTGAAAGCATCGTGTGGGGTCAGAATTGAATCTGGAGTTAGATGTTTGAATTATTCACAGTTTTGTTCTTGAATAATTGTTATTGAATGAAGTAGAAATGGAATTTAATCTTAAGTGTATATTGTAGACAAATCAAAAGCAAATCAATAAATATGTGAATAAGTTAATATAATTATTTTCATAAGAGAATTTGTAATTCAATTTTCAAGATATGTACCTGAGACTCTGTAAAACATGGGATTGTTGAATTATTGATACATTTAATGGCACAACATCACTTATTTCCCAAACCAATTCTAAATACATCTATATATATATATATTGATTGTATCCATTCTCAATTTATCTTCCATAACAGCTTTGCGATATAAATGCAGATTAACTGTTTAATCATGTCTGCCAACATTGTAAGCTGTTTTCATTGTTGCTTCATGTTTGCCTATATCAAGCATTCAGCTGTGACGCCTTCTGTTATTACCATTAATTACGAACAGTTTCTGAGTTGCTTTTTGCTTTGTGCACAAACCAAATGATGGACAGGCAAAAAAAAAATATATATATATATATATCTATATATAGTAGAACACGAAGGAAGGAGAGGAAGAGGATATTGAACAATGCATTCAGTTTTGTTTATGTAGACAACAAAAGGCTTCAGGGAACATAGAAACGAGTACTGAAAGTTGTCTTCAGAATGACAGAAATGGAATACCCCTGAAAATTATTAAAGCAGTACAACGAATATTTATTATATCGATTATATGATTTGTTTATTAGATTAGTCGACAACTGCTTATTAAGTAAATATATCGCCTTATATATGGACTATAGATATACATATAAAAGTGAAATCAAAATACCCTAAGTTAAATATGGAAAAAGCTATTTGCACACACGTTGCGTATACGCAATGTATCATCCATGAAATACAAATGTTTCTTATCGCATATAGATATTTTACATACTCTTCTGCCCGTTGCTTGCCATGCAAATATTGTTGGAAACTGTTTCAATTTCACTATTCGATTTGTCGCTTGTCCAGTGCGCTTCGGTCATGTGTAACTTAATTAGTTTCACTGTGGGTGGGAGGGTTACTTGAGTGACCAGAGGGTGCAGATTGGGAATTTATGGTCATTGATTGGCTTGCATACGATGTGTGCGAGGCTTATATGTTGAGCTGGGTAAGCGGCTTATTTGCAGATCATTATGCGTATTTTGTTGCTGTAATTGAGAGGAACAACAATTAAGCCCCCAAATCGTACACAAACATGAAATCCCAAACCGTAACCGAAATACAGAGTTCCAAATACAAAATCAAAATCGAACGGGAGAATATTCAATCGATATTGGTCATTAACTTGTTACAGCTTCCCAATTAGGCATAAATCAAATGCGTATTGGGCCCTCTAATAAATGGCGAACGCGATGGCCCGCACAAGATTTATGATGAGCTTATAACACATATGAAAATTGGAAAAGTTTTTCGTTTTAAGTTGTGCGTGGTTGCAATACTAGATATAATATGTGTGTTGAACAGAAAAAACTGAATTTACCAAATGCCCTGTGTTTGAATTTTAATTGTTCCAACTAACATTAAAGTAAGAAATATAAGTTCAAAGTGAATTAAACAGAACTCTTCGCTATTCCATGTTTATTATTAGGGTATTATAAGGCAAATATAAATGAATTAATAATTACGAATTAACGTCTAATAACCTTTCCATTGGTTGATCAATCAATTATCAAGGTTATGTAAGTAAAGAATTAAATTAAAAATATAAATAACTGGAATTACAAGAAAGATACATAAAATAAAATAACAAAATTGAATTAATACATTATTTGTGAGATTAAAGGAAAACTAGCACAAAAATAAATAAAGTAAGATAACAAAACTTAATTAAAATGTAAGCTAAGAGATTAAACAGCAATAGGAAACATTTGTGTGCCTTCGAGTTGATCAAACTCGCTCTACAATCAACATTGATTATAGGACATATAAAGTGAAGGCTGTTACACTGTTCTCAGTCTCATATGGCATTTTATAAAAAGTCGGGTGTGTAGTCCCAAGTGTATAACTATGTATACTCAAGGATGTGCTCAATATACTTGTGTGTTTAAATATGAAATATGTCTGAGCCGTTCTGGCTCTGCGTTTGTTTAAGTGCTCAATTCGGTTAGTGGGACGTGATCTTTAGGGCTTTAGTAAACTTAGCTGCACACAGTTGCGAGAAACGAAGACAATTCTGTCGCCACCTTTTGTCAGTGCATCAATCAATCAAACATTCAATAGCCACTTATATTCGTTGACCTACACTGCATAATGTTCACGCTACTTGTCAAAACGGTGCCATTAGGCAATGCACAACAACAAGAAATTCATCAATTCGGTCGTTGCCAGGCAACAAGTTGCCACAAATGTTTTTTTTTTGTTGATTTTTTATTTTTTTATTATGTGCTTTAGTTTTTTGTACGCATCGCATTAAGTTCAATGGTTGGGTTCAATGTCTGACTTGTGTTATTTGAAGTTTTATTTTATTTTTTCTCTTTTTTATACGCACAAAACAACTTAAAACACATCATTAAAATTTGTTCAGACGTTGTTGGCTTACAAATAAAAATGGCAATAGCATCCCCACCAAAAAAAAATAATAGAAGTTCCTGGGAGTAGCTGACCACGAGCTGAAAGCACTTTTTAAGTACAACATAACTTAAATAAAAATGAAAAAACAACTAAAATCTGTTTTCTATGTTAGCCGTATAATTAGAATTTAATTTCAAAGATATTTTCTCTTTCATCGAAATAAAGCAACAATTATTGTTATCTTAACAGATTATTTGACCAAAGCAGTTAAATGATTTTTTGATTTCTTAAGGTCGACAAATTGAATCTTTTTATTAATACTTAATATTTAAATCATGTCTCATTTTCAATTTCATGGATGGTTCAATGCTTTAGCTGTTATTCTTGCCAATGTGTGTGTGTGTGTATGTTTGTGTATTTGTGCTGCCAACTGCAGACATAAATATTTTTCTGTTTTCCGAATCAATAT